TTCCTCTTGCGTAAGGAATCATTCAGAGTCTGGATTCAGTATCTACTAGAATTCAAGAACTTGGAAAAACCAAGTTTTCCCCAAAAGTCTGTACCAAACATCATGTCTCAGAAATGTGAGCAGCTGTCTCCATGAATAATTTTGCAGCTAGACTCAACTTTATTTGGGTGTGTGTATAGCAACCCCCGGTTCACCTGGATGCTTGTAAATTAGAAATCAGGAGCTGAGACAAGTGGTTCCTCTCTAAAACATATAGTGCCACCCTGGGTGAAGACTGAGAAACAAACATTTGCGTGGTGTTTGCCTGGCTTGACAGAGGTAAAGCACCTATGAAGATACAGCCTGCTGTAAAGGAGAAGCAGTCTGAGCATTTAATCAGGCCACTGCTTGGGCTGGTTTTAGCATGCTGTCTCAAGAAGGACCTAGAAAGGAGTTTTTGTCCAAAGGTTTTGAGGATACGAAGAAAGGCACTGTCTTGGTATTCTTGATAAAACTGAACTTCTTACACTTTTGTGCCTCAGTGGAGCTGCACAAAAAGCCTGACTCTCTGAAGAGTTTACAGTCTGCTCATCACCATTAGGCATTTGTGATCTGCAACTACCAGTGATCTAACAAAAAAACTGACGCGCATTACTTACACATCTGGTTCATATTATAGAGGTAAAGGTGATTCTGGTGCCTTGGGAATGGGTTGCATAGGGATAATACTGGTCCAGAAAGATGTTGAACACTGAGGTATTGCTGAAGATAATCAGGTTGAATGAAGTCAACAGTGTTCAACTTTAAAATGAATTGCCAGTGACTTTATTTTAATCACTTGGCCAAGCTGTTTCATTGCAGTACAGATTTAAAATAGCAGGGGAGTTCATCTTTCTGGAAGGCTGGAGAAGGGGAGAAGAGCAACTCTAATTCCAGCTGATATTTCACAAAGCAGGAAAGTGGCCAGCGTTGCACCTGAAGGAGCACTGGTAATCACCCCCCATCCAAATGAATAATTAGCTGAAATAATTACCAGCCTTGAGATGAATTCTCACACTTTTTTGCCCGTGACAGTATCAAGGATAACAGGTGTTGAGAGTGCCTTGAAGGGACAAAGATTAAAGATTATTTCATTATCAGGATTCCTTTAGGCAGAGAAGTCTTGCGTTTTATCCTATCATGCACAAAAAGGTCTAAGCAGAATCTCATTCTCCTCATGCTTTGACAGTTTTGAAGCTGAGCTTTTGACAGAGAGTGAATATTGTTTAATTTGGGAGAATGGCCTGTCCTTGAGAATTCAGTAATCTCTCTGTGTTTTCACAGGCTGATTCCTGCTCAGAGGCCCAAGGAAAACTGAAAGTAAGGGTGCTGCAGAGACACTGCACAAAAGTCTTCCTTTTAATGAAGTTTAGATTATTTAGAAAAGAAAGTATTTTAGCAGTTACTTGGAGGCTTGCTGATGAAATATCATGCATGTTTCAAAAACTCATTGTTTATATTTGCAAAGTAGTATCATAAGGAATCCTAATAGGATTTCTTTCTGTTCTGCCGTTTCCTCATATGGCTTTTAGACCGTTTTGTTTTGTTGGTTATACTCAGAGGCCAGACTGTGTTGAGGCAAACATCTGCATGGAGCGTGCCCTAGAAAGCGTCAGCTTTTACCTCTTCACTGGAAGTCCATGTCAGAAACACTGTCGTTCCAATGCGCAATAACTTGTTCTCAACTGGACATTCGGAAATTCCAAATACTTTGGAACTATCATAGTCATTTCCAAACTCTTTTTCATTTCACAACTATGTCCTGCAGGAATAATGCATCTGCAAACTGTATGCAGAGTTGGATAAATTCTCAGGGCACACCTGCATTGTATTTACGACATGCCTGTGAATGCCAGTGTTTGAATCCCAAGATGATGGGATGGACAGTGAGGTGAAACAAGGTGGAGGGAACTGATGGTAACTGGCTGCTAAAAAAATCACGTGTGTAAACATTGTTGCATTTGAGCTTTACTTCTGTCCCTTACTTATTTTCTCCTCTAACTCTGCTATAATTGCTGTGTGCAATATATCTGCTGTTAAGAAGTACATACTTGATGCTGACCATGCAGTTGTGCAATGCTAAGACACGTGGATCTTTGTTACTATAAATTACACTCTGTGAAGTTAACCACTATTGTTTTAGGAGTTTTCTGGAACTATGGAAAAACGTTCTTTTCAGCAGTGAAGTTAATTCAGTTTGGCTACAAATGAGGATTTTTTGCTTAAGTGTACATATTTGTTGTGTGCCTTGCTGCAGTGCTCTGGTTTTGTCAAGGATACATCTTCCTGCTGACTGCTCTACTGTGGACCACTGTTCCCACAGAAGATCTACTCCACTCTACTTCCTTCTGTTGGGTTTCTGTTCTGAGAGCTTTTCACTTTTCATTGATACATTAGGCAAACTCATCATGTTTGATCATACTTTAAACTAGCAGCTGGCCCCTTTCTTCCCTTTGATATTCACATGGAATTCCCGTTGTTTCAAGTATGTTTTTGTATACATGTTGTCCACAGCGATGGAATAGCAGCAAATAGAGAAAGCTATAGAAGCCCAGTTACAGATGCAGAATTGGCTGGAAGACTTCAGTGAGGTGATTTTCCTTGAGAAAAACTAATTCAGTTTAGAGCAGAATTCCTGGATTTGGGCTGGGTGCGACTTAAGTGCAAACAGATGTTTTGCAATTTCAGTATCCACTGTTCTTCATAAGAAAATAGTATGATATTCATGGAAAATTTAATCTGTGACAAGACTTCAGCTGAAAAGATCAAAGTCTTTTTGGAATAAATGTTGTATTTTGTCTTTTGGGGACCAAACCAATCCATCTTCCCATAAGTTATTACACCTTCTCGCAAAGGAACTCGCCCTTCATTTCATGGGTCGTGCTTCTAGAACACCAAGTTTTTCTTCCTTCGACTGTGTGGGCTAGCTAACAATGGCAGATTAAGGAAAGGTCGTGTTCTGCCACTGGTTTTTGCAAGTGTTGTGAACAGTCCCAGTGATTTTCAATAAGCTTCTTCAAGAGTTTGTAAAAGCAAACTGCTGTTTATAGTCATAGAATTATGCTGTCTTAAACTAGTTAGAATGACAGGAAGAAATAAACCTTTACAGCATACCTTTCCTGAAGACTAAGGAAACTGGGGTAACTTGTAGAACTCTACCACTAATTTAAAAAACACAGGAAACTATGGTAAAGTTTCATTCTGCTAATTAACAGAAGCTCTTGGGAGAAAATGGAGAATCTTAATATGTAGGTGGGGCGAAATACCTGTAAATACACTTAAATACCTGTAATGCACTTTGTGAATAAGAAGTTTAATACTGCTGGAGAATTTAGAGATATTTCCTAAAAGGAGCCAAAGAAAATGTCCAACCCACTAGACTTCCCAGGAGAGCTGGGTACTTCATGGTACTCTGCACAGTGCAGTTTTCACATCTGCATGCCCTGAGGGAGGGAGGAATTATTTTTCTGCTCTCATTGTAGAAGATAGTTAATGTGAATCAGAAAGCCTCAGACTTCCTTAGTGACCTTCCTAATTTACTTTTCTTAAGGATTTCTGAACCTATAGTACGTACGGGTATACCCATATATAGGTGGATGTACTGAGATCCAGGGACAGAGTTGCAAGGATACACAGCAGCAGACTAAAGGCACTATATTAAAAGCTACAATCTACGTTTGTCACTGAAGAAGACTAACCTGAGACATCCCTGCTGGTTCCACTGTGGAATCCCACTTCTGCTTGTCAAAACGCTCCCAAAAGACAGGATAGTACATGGGAGCCAACTCACTGGGCTCTGTGCTGCGTTTCAAGTCTAACACCTGCTTGGTAATCCATTTCAAAAACATACAATACAGATATATTTTTCAGAAGGAAATTCAACATGCAAAGAAATTAAGGTAGTGCATCAATGAGACTGAAGCTATTTTGAACAAGAACAAACACCCCTAGGCTTTTAGGATTTTAGTACAGAATTTTGAAAAAACATCAAAGAAGGAAAGAAAGTAAATACTGGTTTTGCAGCTATTGACACTTCAAATTTCATTTAACAACAGCAATATCAACTGGATCTTTAACAGAGATTTCCTTAGCAAGATAAGCATTTGCTCTTGAATGCGGACTCAGGCTTTTTGCATTGAATTGAAGAAAATGTAGGAAAGTTGGTCTCGTTTCAGTGACAGTAATGATACTTTGGGAGTGTTCTCCTTTACTGATCTTAGACTTTCAGTTATACGTGAAACAAATGAGCTAGAAAATCAAGATAATGCAGTAATTAGTTGATAAATTGACAGGCTGAGCATTTTTACTTTTTGTGAAGTTTTTATACTTATACTTCATGTCCTTGCTAGCACAACATATCAAAACTTAAGCCATCTTTGATTTATGTATTTTCCTTTTAAAAACACAAGATTTTTTAATGGCAAACACCATCAGCTATTTTTCTTTAGTAAAATATGTGTGTCTACTAATAATTCAACAGGATTAGTATTTTGGAGTTGTTGACAGGTTCTTATTGAAGAAAACGTTTTTCTTACGTGAGCATCCTGTTGGGTCTTAGTGAGTCTACCTCATGTCGTATGAATGCTTCCTCTAAAGGACATAGGCTGATTTTTCATTGTATTAAAAAATACCCAAACTGTATTCTAATATTATATGTAGAACATTAATACAACAGAATTGCAAAGGTAAGTTTTCACACCACTGCAATACACCTAGAGAATTTCCAGCTCAGCAAGGAATCCATGCTAAATTTTTTTTTTTGAGGTTCAAATATTGCGATTTCATTGTTGCATAGCAGTTGTATGGGAACTGAGTCCCAGCCTGACCCACTCACTGAGCATGTGGGAAAAGGACCCAGTCAGCCCTGGGAGCACAGGTGAAGGCAATTCATCTGTGTGACTGGAAGGGGAGGAGCCCAGCTGCACCTCTCCTAGAGCTCATTTAAGGGCTGACCGCCCCCTGGTAGCGCTGTTTGGTTGGAGATCCTTTCTTTGTGGAGTTTCCTTTCTGAGCCTGGATCTTCAGGCACAGGTGAGCACTTTTCTTTTTTCTTTGTAACGCTTTTATATTGCGCTGGTTCCCTTGTTGTTGATCTCCATAACTCTATTCCTTTGTGTTGATCTTTCTGATTGTTACAGTAGTTATGATGACTCAAGAAGTGTAAAAGCTTAACTATAACATATTAAGGCATGTGATTTTTACCTTGCTATGTTCTTCAGGGTACCTTGAACTGTCATTCAATTTTAAGCTGGTTAAATTGTAGGGGCTAGGGAATCAAAAACAGAAGGGGGAGAATCTGGCACACATCAGGTGTTGTTGCTTCTCTATCCCTCTGAACTGGGTGTTTGTTAGCATGAACTTGAGCAACAAGAACAAAAGGAAGAGAAAAAATTGACTACCCTGCTTGGTGTAGCTGGTGCAGTGCCTGGAAGAGCTGGCCTCACAGAAGGAAAGCTTGGCAGTGCTTCAGGAAATGGATATGATTTGAACTTTCACTTTGATAAAGCAGATCAGAGCATAGTCATGACTGTGGCCTCTTGGGTATGCTAAAATAAAGTCTGTAAAAAGTACATGCATATATGTGCAGGCTATCTGATGCAACCATATGAAAACTCTAAGAACTCAGGTAGGAAAGAGCTGCCTCTTTAAAATGACCTTTTAAAAAACAGTATCAATGTAGGATATGATATAAAAACAAGATGGCAACAAGTGAATCAAAGATTTTTGCAATATCCTGATGTCCTGTGATAGTAATGGAACATTTGCCTGTTTGCAAATGCTTTATCGACCTGGGATCAGTTACAAAACTTCTTCAATCTAGATAACGTTCCAGAAAAAAAGAGCAATTCATGATGTTGCAGCTTATGCTGGAAGATAAGTATGACAAGAAAGAGAACCAAAGATACTGGGAGAAATTATAATAAACTTCCTTCTGACTTTTTGTCTTGATGACCGTTGAATAATAACAGAAGTCAACACAGTGCCATGTTTCTTCTATTTCCATCTATGCTAGATTCATGGAAACATTATCTAGACTTGTATCATTTAAAGACTTCCCAACCTGTGTTATGAGTATCAGCTTTTCCATTATAGCTCAGCTGGAGCTATGCAAGTAAAACAATTCCTTTAATCCACTCTCTTTTACCAATTGTGAAAGCTGTTATGTGATGATGTTGCAGAACATAGTATCAGTGCAAAAGGAGCTGAAAGGGGAGCTAACTGGCTTTCTAAGACCAAGACCACAAGTTTCTGAAATGTTTTCAGGATGTAGAATAATAGTAGTTTACGGAACTTATGTTTTCCTGAAGGGAATGGTTCATCCTCAGTAGATGAGGAAAGTGGCAGGAGAACTGAACCAGCTAGATGCAGAAGTGATATGTTAAAGTATTGTATGCTAAAATTGCATGAATCTTGTCCGAAATTTCCTTTGTTTAAGGTCCCATTTTCTTTCCTTGTGAAGCCTCAAACATTTTGTACCAAGCTCTTAAAGTACTTTAACTAACTGTAAAAAATGTCTTCAGTCTACAATTCTTTCTGATACACATTTACCTCTAAAAGTAGGTGGTGAAGTGAAGGTGTTATCTGGTATTGTTTCTCTCAGATGCAGGTAAAGATTGCCTTTAGAAAGAGTTTAATACCATTTTTCCAGAGACTAAGTTTGGTGTAGTTTCCCAAGTAATGTATTTTTTCCAAGTTGCATAATTTTGAATAGGTGTTGAGAGACAGAACTTGTGAACTGCAGCTGCTTTGTTTGGTGTCTCTATTGTGATCCTCACCATAGTTGTTTTCTAGTCATCTAAAGATTATGGACCAAAGAGGGGTTCTCTCTGTATGGGTCAACTCACTAAAAAGACTCCCTTAGTGAACCTAAGAAGAAACCAGAAAGCTGTCGGGAGAGAGATGTTCCCTTCTCTCCTTTGATGGTGATTCTATCAGCAGCAGCAGACTTCTGAGCTAAACTCAATGGAAAACAAAACTGAGCTGCTCAAAAAATGAAAATTCCCATTTCAGTTGGATTTGTGGTTCTTGCCCACCTCCCCTCTCCCCCTTCAACAGCTGGAGCACACGCTAGCAACAAGTAGGGGCTGAAAAGCCTGGGTACACATTAGTAATAAGCGCATTAGAGAGCAATGGCTGGCAATTTTCAATTCATGCTGTGGAAAACCACATGTTCCGTTTCACTTTTCCATGTAAAATTCCCCTCAAAAACAACTAATGTGCCAATTCTAGTGATTTCTGGTCTGTTTTCTTTTTGAGAACTGACTCTATCACTTTGTCACCCCTTTGTACCATCTCGGTCATCCAGTCATTCTCCATACTCAAGACGCTCCTTCTCCAGTGTCTGGAACTATTTCTCAGCATCTCAAAGCCCAGTGATGTTGGTGGTAACTTCATGTCAGGGGCCTGCTACAATTTTAACTATCAGCTACGATGCAGTTTGGAGAAGCGATTCACCAAAGCATTCAGAAACTCTACTGTGTAGTTTAGGAAGTACTTAGAGCCCCTAAGTGATTCAGTCTTGAAGGATGATAGCTTAGGCCCAAGGCCCAGGATCTTGTGAGGCCCCACTGTGGCAATTATCCTGTATGAATGACCTGTCTTGGTGTGCCGTTTGGGCTCCTTTTACATACTTTCTGTAATACTATTATTTGTTCTGTAATGGCACAGTATCCTATTTTGCATCATTGAGAGAACCAATGGAAAAGCTAAATAGAGTAGTTGTAAATATTTTTAAGTATAATAAAATCTAGGGATTAGCTGAAAGTTAAGTTGTGCAAAGCTTAGATATTTTAACAAGAGGTATGATCCTTTTGATGAATAGGAAATGTATTAGGAAATTCTAATTAATTATTAATCTATTGAAAAAGGAGCTAGAAATATTAATATTTCATATTAGAGATATTTTTATAAAATCATCTTGTAGTTGGTTAGTTAGCTGGTTAGAGTGCAGCTTCAAACAATCTATAGAAACAAGCGAATCCTCCTTTATCTCAAATATAATTAGCCATTTAAACGTCTTGGGTCAATTTATTAACACTTTATTCATCGGGGTGTAACTTTTATTAGGCTTTATTGCTATCAGAAATTATATCCTACACAAATACAATAGAGATTTAAATGTTCTGTAGAATGAGCCAATGCTTCCTGACTTTATTGCACAGTATTGTAATGAACCTTGACCAGCTCTAGATTTGATAAGTGTAAAATATTACTGCTTGATGCTAATTTTGTTCCTTTTTAATGACTGATAATCCATGTCGATTTAGTGTGATAGTCACAATCCAGTACTGTTTTCCTGCTTATAAATGTGATTGTAACAGGAGCTATTAAGTGTGTCTGCATAATAAAATTAGTCAGGGAAGCTCTGTATATTGTTTCCAGGTCTTTGGATTTTCATTATAGTAGTGGAACTTGTTGGACTGTAAAGCTTGATGGTTGCCAGCTCAGACAGGCTCTTTTGCTACTTCTCTGCCAAGAGAGGGGGTAATGATGCTGCACTAAGAAGTCTGTTTTCACTCTTCTGGAAAATTCATCATATATAAACATAGGGTATAATTTTGGAGGGAGTGTGAAAGGTGTTACAGGTTAAGAAAGGGCGGAAAGTCATCTAGGCAATGTATTGCAGCTGTGTAAGTTTAAAGAGACCTTTGGCAGCTGGAAGTCTGTGTTGGGAGTTGTGACATCTCTTAGTAATCCTGCAGCACTGATAAATCAAAGGTCTGCATCTGTCAGTTAGCCAAAGTATGTGCATGAGGGGATCCTCGTGAAGAAACATAGGCAGCAGTATCTCTCTTCCTTCATCACTCTGTCCAGTCCAACAGCACGCTCCATCTTTACAAAATGAACTGCATCAGACAAATTCTAAGCAGCATGTGCTTTCTTTCAGTCTTGCTTTCTGTCTCACTTGATCTCAACTAATTTGAAGGCTTCTATTTCATTTTTGGGGCCTCTAGGTTAGAAGTGAAGATATTTCATAGGAGTAGAAGAAATTCTGTGAGAATTATCAAAAAACGTTTTCTGTAGCTTAATGTAATTTTCTGGAGGTTTTTTTTTTTTTTTTTTTAAAGTGAAATAGCTATGTGATCTCTACTGATGTCTTGGCAGAAAACTGTATTTGTATCTGAGTAGTATCTCAAAAGAAACCATCTGCAGTAAGGTAGATACTTAGTGTCTGAAATCCTCTTACTTGTCCTATTAAAAAAGATAACAGGGAATTGTGTCGTTGATGTCAGCATAGGCAAGATCTTGCTCACAGTAATTTTGGTTGGGAAGACAGCGCTCCCCTGGTGTGATAGCTATGCTCAGTGCCCCTTAATGAGCTGCTCAGGTAGACCCAGTGGTACTGACTCCTAGGGTGGGACAAGAACAACTTTCCCACAGGCAGTGTTACTGTTGGCTAAAGACAGGCTTCAGTTTCATTAGCAGTTTACAGAAGGTAGTTCATAACTTTTCACTGGCTGGCAAAAGAATAATTCACGGCTTTTGATGCAGGGTGGGAGTAAACCAAAGCCTTTCAAGCCATTGTATCCAATACTTCCTCTAATACTTGGGAAACTTCCCCCAGGAGGAAGCAGGAAAAGATGAAAACAGAGCAGAAAGATAGGTGATAGGCTAAAGGAGCTGTCTTTAAGGTTTATTGTAGCACCTCTGCATTTTGATGGCTCCATGATAGAAACTGTGGGGCCCTCCTGACTTAGAGTTTATACGTAACAAAAATGCTGTTAAGAAAATTTAGTATCAGCTGTTCTGCAGAGATGTTCAGGACTCCAATTATGGCTGATAAATACTGCTTTGTGCAGGGCTTCTGCAAGTATTTCTAGGAGTCAGAGGGCTATTTGTTGTGCTGGCTCAGTCTTCTACCGAGCACTGGGTGGAATGCCCTGTGCAACAGTTAAGGGAAATGTTGGCTGGCAAAAGGCTGCTTCTTACCAGAAGATAACATGCTGACAGACTAGCTGATCTGCAGCGAGTATCTGAAATCTGGCTGACATTAGTGGCAGGTGGAGAGGACAGTTAGAGCACCTGCAAAT